TTTTTGTGGTAAAAAACAAAATGATAAAAATGAGTTTGTAAGAAGAAAAGAAATGTAGCCAAGAAAGAGAATTTGACCAATTGGAAAATTCCTGGTTATAACCACAATAAATAAATATTTGAGGGGTATTTAAGCAATATTCAAAAATAAGTTATTGTCCGTACTTCTGCTTGTTTCGACTCGTTGGGAGATGGGGAAGCCCATTCGCATTCTAACTTATGACTGAAGATTCATTTTACTTCTCTATCTGATTTGATTCTTGCATGTATGTGATTACATATCTTATAGTTGGATAAGATTCGGTGCTTGTAAAGTTTGTAAAAGACAAAACGATCTTCTTCTTTTTTTGTTTGGTTTAATAACTTACTATAGTTTGATTCGGTGAACAAAAATATTGTTTCAGGTTTGCCGATTGTTCGAACTTGAGTACAATGATGCCTAGTGAAATTACATACCATATGTATCATCAATTGTTTGTTGAATATTCAATATTTTCCAAAGTTTTCAAAAATAAATAAGTTACTTTTATACAAATTATGTTATATATTTCCTGGTAAATATTTTGATTTTTTTTTTGGTAATTGGCGAAATTATTAGACCAAAATACATACATTCGAGATTTGTGGAAGGTTGAATATTTGTATCACCTAACATGTCTATAAGTGATTAATGATAGATCCAGAGTAATGGTAAAACTCGTTATGAAACTTTTTGATCTGCATTTATTAGCAAAATAAGAAAAACTTTGATCTGCATAACAATCGCTCTACTACTTGAACAACGTCACTGGACCAACGTTACTTTTGTTAATGGTTTGATTTGTTCGATTTAATTTACTACCATTTTTCATTGTTTATTTAATTTACTAACTTTTTCGTTAATTTAATTTACTACTTTGAGTTATTATATGAAACAGATTAAAGTGTTTCACTAAATAAATTAGGGAACACATCTTTAAAGTGTGGGTACTCACACAATATAATTTTTGGATTTCATGATTTGAGATTCTTTTTTACTGGCAATCCATGGAATTGCAGAATTGATTTTTTCTTGACGCGATTACAATTTTTTTACCAATAAAAATAAATATGTAAAATACTAAATGTTGGAGATAAATATTTTTCTTAAGAGTCAGACAAATCTCTTATCACCACGTATAATTAAAATAGAAAATGTCACTTGTCCTAAACTCGTGTCATTTCAGCAATAGAGAGTGTTATTAGGGTCTGAGTATCAATATGTTAGGTTAAATATACCTCTTTTTTCCTTACTTATATTTGAACTTTCGACTTTTCTTTAGTTGATTTCTAAAACGCTTCATTCTCGGAGATCTAGTCTCCCTCACATTTCAGTCATTTTCTTGCTATCTCTAGCTACTCTCTCGATCAGCTGTGACATTTCATCTATCTTTTACTCTAAAGTGGTTCCTAAATCGACTGATACTTTGCAAATCCTTTTTTTCTTTCGCATCCGAAATAATTTGATTTTTTTATCTTTGTCTTCTAATTCTTTCTGACTTCTTCATAACTCAAGTTATGGTCATTTCTATTTTACTTGTCTAAACGTCAAAAAGTCCGCAGAATCATGTTATTTAGACTTAGACATGTTTGTTCATTTATATGAGACTTATTTCTGTAAGACAAAAAAAAATTAAAACATTAAACAAAACGTAAGTTTTATGCTTAAGCTTTAAAAAGCAAATGAAAGTTCATTACGCAAACAAGTAAATATTTAGTAGTAACTTATTTTGCTGAGAACCAGTTAAATAAATATTTTGTATTTTACCTATGAAAAATTTAACTGTTAAGAAAAAGTAAACAAAATTGTTTATAGTAAAATTATGTTATATATCTATGAATACTAGATAAAATCTGACAACTCTATCAAATAATACTTAATATATATATGTGAAGAATATATATATACTATATAATTTATAGTATATTCCGCTATTCTGAAATTTATCCAAACACACATATAGTTTTATTTTGCAGCTTTCGATATGTAGATTTATTTCGTTGAGTATTTTTTATTTTCTATCATTATGTACAGATCTCATGTTACCAACTATAAGTTTAACGAAATGGTCTATTATCATGTATCACTTTTTATTCAATTTTAGTTTTTCTCGCGAATTATATTTTATTTATGCCAAAGAAATAATGGCAGCAGTTTACCTTTAAACAGTTAACCGTTGTCAATGCGAGGACGTTTATTTAAGTAGATTGTTCGATAATGATGATGAGATATTCAATTATGACTAATTAAAGTTTTAATCATTCCACATACATGTGTGCATGTGACTAGCCTTTTCATAAGAATCTATGATGAACTATAAACTCTGGCCATTATAACAATTATTTAGAAACTACATTAGTGGTATTCCCTTTTTAGTCGAATCCGTGACATATTAGTGGTGCTAATTGCACTGATATGTTTTCTGCTAAAGAAGGTTACAGTTATTTGAATCATACTGTACGGTAAATGCGATACAGCAATGATTGTCATAACTTGTAAGCAAGACAATCACTTAATTTACGGAAAATTAAAAATAAACGTCGAGGGCCCAAATTACATTGCAGATAAATGCTGCTTCACTTTATCGAGACAATTCTATTTTATGGAACGATATCTCAGAAGTCGGCAAAAACCCTAAATAATATACGTGCAATGTGGGCTAATTCATTTACTGTAATTAGTTTTGAGTTATATATATATATATTTATATATATATATATATAACTTCATATGGTATCAAAGTATAGTTACAATATCCAACCCGATTTACAAACAGACCAACCTAAAATTGGTTTCATCTGATCCAAAGTTGATTTCTTTGATTCATGTACGAAACCAAAATCAATGGCCGTGAGAGCTATCATTTTGATGGAGCATGGCATAAATATCCCACATTGAATGTTGACAAATTAGTTTAAAACATAGGTTAATCTAATCATTGTCAATTGGTTTTAAACTGAAAAGAAATTTAATTTAATATTTGATATTTTCACTAACTTCAAATTTAAAATGGTTTAGATTTCTCAATGATCTCAATTTGAACTATTTTAGATTTTTGGGGTCTCAAATATTTGTCTTTTTTACGTCATTATAAAACAAAATTTGATAAAGACAAATTTGGTCAAATCAATCTAATTGATGTAGCATACTTTTTCTTATTCAATTGAACATAATTTTAGTGGAAGTTTTTGGTACAGTGATTGAATCTTTTTTTTTAATAAAAGTGATTGATTCATGATGAATCAATTCTTTTACACATATTTCAGGTTTAATCTTTATTTTTAAAATTTTATGACCTGAATTTTTTTTGAAAGTCTAAGTGCGTTACAGGTTGAATGATGTTATGATCCCAAATAAATGTGTGTTACGGATTGTTAAGTCTTTTTGTTGTGAAGGATCATCGTCATTTGTGATATGGTCAATGTATATAACAAAGATGTAACTAGGACAATCAACTATATTTTTTAATTAAAATCTAAGTGTAATATAAAATTACAATAAAAATTTTATAAATAATATTCGATAAACTAATAAATTTTATAAATTAATAATTTTTATGGTCTTGATTTAAATTATAACACAAATCGATAAGATAATAAAATAATAATTTAAAAAAAAATCCTATGTAAATATATGAATTTATTAATATCATAAATTAATAATTATCGTAAATAAAATAAAATATAAATATAAAAATGATATAATCTATTAAAATATGAGTTTGATAAAAAATTTATTTATTTTAAATTTAAAATTTCTTATAATCATCTTTAATTTTAAAAAGAATGTTTTAAAGAGTAGAATTTTTAAAAAAAATCTTTTTAAAATTATTAAAAAAATATATTTTTTATTTGAAATTTATAAATTAATAACTCTATAAATTAGTAAAATACCAAAGTCTCAACATTATTAATTTATAGATTTTTTACTGTATATCTATCTTTTAAATTAATATACTACATATGTATATACGTAATATCTATCATTCGTTAAAAAAAAAAAAGTAATATCTGTCATATTTCATACGGCATATTCAATGGAAATTGTGATTCAAATATTTTTGAGAGAGCTATATTTTTTTTCGTTCGGATATTTAAAACTGATACTGTCAAACCAAATTAGATACTGTCAACAAAAAATTCCTTAATTGTAATATCATATTCAAATTCGCAAACAAACGAGAAGTAAGTACTATCCTCTATTCTTAGGTAATTAAAACAAAAATTATCCTCTACTCTTTGAGTAAACTGAACCACATGTGGATAATGTTGTTTAAATATTTTGAGCAATCGTAATATAAGTAATTGTAGAAGCTGTGTATGTATAAACATATATGTATATTATATCAATATGTATGAAGAGTAGCATTGAATAATAATGGAGAGGATATGGGAATGTCGTACTATCATGTGCGCTCCTGTGATAATTCCACATGCATTATGACCCTCCAAAACAAAACACGATGTAAAGAGCAAAAGGAAAAACTTGACTTTGGATTCGTGTTCTTATTCTTCTTTTCCTGCTTCTCTGTAAAAGTTTTCCCATTATTGGAACGACCAAGAAAACAGATGGTAAAAACTATAAATTGCATTCATCTCAATATAAAATTACATAAGATTTTTTTTTTAAATTACAAATTTGAACAGATAAACTAAGTTTGTTTGACTAAATTCTAGTTTAATTTGATCATGATATGCTTATAAATATGAAACCATTTCATTACTGTCATATATATACTATCGATATAATTATATTCTTTCTTTGAATCCCTCTTGCTGTGAGATATAATTATCATTGTTTACGCGAGTTGGATATATATACTACCACTACAGTCATAAAACTAATGTAGAATGTTGATCATTTTAAAAGTCCAAGTCCAAATGACTTGATCCCATGTTTACGATCCAATATAGTGGTTACAACACTTTGCTTGATTATTATTATTATGCATCTTCTACTAATTATCAAAAAAAAATTAACGGTTACAAACCGAGATGAAATGGGATACCAGTTGAATTGAGCCATGTGTTACCATCAATAAATGGACCGACTGTAAATTGAGTTGCCTCCATTGCGGTTTGCATGCGTCTATAACCAGGCCATTTGACCCGGTTTGTCATGTTTGACCCTGGTCCTTCATTCATATATTCTCCATAATATAAAGTCTCAAGAGCAAAATCGTTTTGCCACTCCAACCATCCGGCAGGATCAATCAAATCGTCAATAAACGATTTTATAATAGTCGTCCTAGAATATCGTCTCCATGGTCGACCCAAATATGCCTTGAAGTTTGCTTTTACTGGTATCAAATCATCTCCGGCCAAGATTCTACAATTAATCATAGAAATACCTGTTGGCTGATCAGAGTGGTTGCGACTCTGAGCGGTAAACGCGATTTTCTGGTTAAAATTTGGTTTACGAGCATAAAGACTACAATTCTGGAACACAACAGCTGCGTTACCACATATGAAATCTACTGTACCAAATATATCACATTCTCGGTAAAACTGTTTGGCTGAATGGACATAGAGAGTGTCTTGGTAACCTTCAAACGCGCATTGGTAAAACGCAGAGAGATCAGAACCGCTACGCAATGCAACAGCTTGGTGTTTGGCCAGTCCAGCAAAATTCACAAATGATATGCCCTTAGCTATGAAGCCTTTACCTTTCACGCCTGCATCACCAATTGATAAATAAATTAGTACTCATGGATTACAACAAGGATAGGAAGATGCAAAAGAAAACATGCAAGTAAGTAGTAACTTATATCAAATTTTTTTATTTGTTGTGGCTCTGTGGATAGATATATTTATTTGGGCTCAAGATATGTATATAACCTGGTCTCAGCCCATTAAATTATAGTCGTTACTGACCTACAGTAGCAGATTGAAATGTTGACCATCCATCAACGCGGCTGCGGTTTGCTTTTATGATTGTTTTTCCGATACCGTCTCCGACAAACATTATCATTGTCTTCTTCTTTGGTATTTCGACGTTCTCAAAATATACCCCACCTTTTATATAAATCGTAAATCTATACCAATATTTTTGAAAAATTAATACTAGACCCATATCTTGACGAAATGATAAGAGTCCATCACATCTACATATATAGCTGTATCATCAAAATTTCATATCACATTAGAATCCACCTTTTTTAATCACAATGATAAATCTAACACATGCATATGTGTATCCCTTAATGACCTTAGACATCATTTCTTTTTTTCAACATCACCAATTACTACCAATATTACTTAACAATAATTCCCAAGATATATAAATTAGTACCAATATGACGTTGATGCTTTACTACGTTGAGTTATTAAGTACCTGGTTTCGCTCGAGTTAGGAGCGGCCGAGACCGCAGAACTGATGGTTGTGAAGTTTCCGGAACCATCTTGAGCCACAGAGAGATTAAACTTAGTCTCTTTCACCGAAGCCTGAAGGAGTCTCTTGTCATTCTCTGAGACCCAACTCGGGAACTCAACGTCAGGGAAATGTTTATTCCCCGGAATCTTCTGAACCATATCTAGAGAGTTACCGAGGTTGTTAGAGATGTTTAAGATGCTCTCCTTCAAGCTCTCATTCAATTCATAAGTCCTATCATTATTATTCTCGTCGTTACTTGCCGTGAAACCCTCGAGACATGTGTCTTGGTTGGTCATGGCGTCGCTAAGCAACATACTAACGTCATGGGACCCAAAAGAGGAACTTTGGAGCTTGGAGATTGCGGTTTTGAGATCGGAGATAGTGTCATCGAGTAGCCCGAGACAGTCTTCAAACGCGCAGCGATCTCGGAAAGTTAGGGTTGGACCAAGACGGTTTTGAAGGTCGAAGAAGTTGGAGGAAGAGAGATTGACCTTTGAGATGGTTTGGTTTAAAGTGGCCACGACGAGCTCAGTGGTGTCATTGGATTTGGTTAAAAGCTGAGTTTTGTGGATGTTGGATTGTGAATGAGAAGAAACGACTGTGGCAAAGAAGATTAGATGAAAGGTCAATGGTATGTTGAGAATCAATATGTGTTTTGATGTTTTTCTAGTTGGATTATTCATCTTTTTTCTTCAAGATCGTAATGAAACATAGAATTTTTTTATGACAAAGCTGAAATTTATAATAAGTGTTGGGTGTGGTCTTATATTGACTTCGAAAGGTAACGATACATAATAAAGGGAAGAATGATAACAGCAAAGATTAAATAGAAGGCAAACGTTTTGGTCAAACTCATTTCCTTTAGATTATAGTAATTGTTTTAACATACGATCAATATAGTCACACATGGTAATAATATTTGAGTAAGGAAGTCTTTGTTCAAATTGAATAACAATATTCATTAAAACTTCATCAATATTTTACCAAACTACGTAAAATCCATAGATTACAGATTTTCCAAGCATATATACAAACGAACTTCAATCAAAATATTATAAACTGAAACTCACCAAAAATTTGAGTTTTAACTGGAAGATTTGATTTCCCTCCACCACAGTTCGCGATTTTGTTTTGCTTTTATTTTGCATCAACTAATGAGAAAAAAAAGAGAGAGAGAACTAGCTACTCTATAATGTTATTAGAGGAAGGACATTAGTCTTAAATGACTTGATCCCATGCTTAATTACAATCCCTTTGAAGTAGCTAGTAACACAAATTTTGTTTATAATATTGTATCCAACTTTAAAATAAAAGATTAGAGATCAAGAGTAAAGGGAATTCCGGTAGAATTAAGCCATTTGTTACCTTCAATAAACGGACCGACAGTGAATTGAGTTGCTTCTACTTCGGTTTCGATACGTTTAAAACCAGGCCATTTGACCCGGTTTGTCATGTTCGAACCGGGCCCTTCATTCATATACTCTCCATAATACAAGGTATCAAGTGCAAAACCATCTTTCCATTTCAACCATCCAGCAGGATCAACAATATCATCAATAAACGATTTTATGATAACTGTCCTAGAATATAATTGCCATGGACGACCTAAGTACGCTTTGAACTTAGCTTTCACAGGGATCAAATCCGGTGCAGCCAAAATCCTGGAATGAACTATAGAAATACCCGTTGGTTGACTTGAATCTTCTCGGCCTTGAGCGGTATATGTGATTCTCTGGTTAGGATTTGGTCTACGAGCATAGAGACTACAATTCTGGAACACAACCGATGCGTCACCAAATATGAAATCGACCGTGCCATAAATATCACATTCTCGATAGAACTGTTTGTGTGAATGGACATAGATGGTGTCTTGGTAGCTTTCAAAGCTGCATCGGTAGTAAGCAGAGAGGTCAGAACTGCTTCGCAACGCCACTGCCTGGTGTTTGGTCGGTCCTGCATCGTTCACGAATGATATGTCCTTAGCTATGAAGCCACTACCTCTCACCCCTGCATGCATATATACCAAAACGTACGTGTAAATTATAATTTACAACAAATATATTATAAGAAACATGAACTAACTAAATGAAATATGGCTAATAACATGATTTATTTAAGAAGAAAACTTACCAACGGTAGCAGAGTTGAATGCCGTCCATCCATCTGCGGAGCTTCGGTTAGCTTTTAATATTGTCCGTCCGATTCCGTCCCCGACAAACATTATCATCGTCTTCTCCCTCGGTATTTCAATGTTTTCGAAATATACCCCACATGTTATATATATCACAAATCTAACCAAAATAATAATAATGAATATTACACTCACGGGTCTTGTTCTTTAAGTTAATTTGTCATTATTTTATCTGTGACGAGTACTACTTAATTGTAAGATATTTTTGTTGAAACAAAATTCTGAAACAAGAAAACTGCCTTCAAAGAAAAAAGTTTCTTCAAAAATTTGGAAATACGTTGTACCTGTGATGATACAGAACAAAGAATTTCTCACTTGAGTTTATAAATACTTCTTCAACTTAGCAGTCTATTCATGAAATTATTTTAAAGAATTTATGCGCTCAATTGAATAATTTGTAATTCATGAGTAAAAATTGAAGAATTGAGCGCAAAAATTGAGCTTAATTTACAAAAAATGTTTTCTTTACTAAACCCTGCCCAATAATGAATTTTTTTTTGGGACCGAATTCTAGCTTCTACGTAAAGAAAACATAAAACAAAATCAAACCAAAAAGAAAAGAAGAAATTAATCATAAAGACGTAAAAGAAAACACTGAAAATTTTCAAAATGAAATACAAAAGTGATTTATATATAATTTCGTAATTGGTAAAACATGCAATATGATATCGTCATCTATATGTTACTTACCAATCAAACCTAACATTTTTTTTTGTTACCTGGTTTCGCTCGAGTTGGGAGCGGCCGATACAGCGGCCCCGATGGTTGTGAAGTTTCCGGTACCATTTTGAGCCACCACGATATTAGCCTTAGTCTCATTCACCGGATCTTGAAGGAGTTTCCGGTCACTCCCTGAGACCCACATCGGAAACTTAACATCTTTCTCTAATTTCCCCGGAATATTCCCCGGAATATTCTCATCAAGCATAGCTAGTGATTCTCTAACGTTTCTAGAGATATTCAAAAGACTCTCCTTCATGCTCTCAGCCACTCCATATATCTTATTATCATTATTCGAATTCTCGTCGTCCTCGTCGTCGCTAGAATAGAAGCCATCAAGACACGTTCGTGTGTTCGTCATCACGGCGCTAAGCAACATATTGACGTTGTGGAGCACCGGAGGAAGAGATCGGAGCTCCGAGATCGCGGTGGTGAGATCATAGACGGTGTCATCGAGTAGCTCAAGACAGTCTTGGAATGCGCAACGGTCGCGATGGCTAATGTTGGAGCCGAGACGGTTTTGGAGATGGGAGAAGTTGGAGGAAGAGAGATTGACCTTGGAGATGGTTTGGTTTAAAGTGGCGACGACGAGCTCGGTGATGTTATCGGAGGATGCAAAACGCTGCGTTTTGTGGAGGGTTGATGATGGTGAATGAGATGAAACGACGGTGGTTAAGAAGATGAGGAGAAAGGTAAATGGTAGTACGCTGAGAATTACAATGTATCTTGAATCTTTTTTTAGATGATTCATTTTTCTAACAAAATTTAGTAGAAAGGGAAAATTAAAAGAGAAACTAACATTTGCTTGCACCCACCCAAAAAAAAAGAAAAAAAATAGGAGAAACTGAAATGTGAAGTGAAAGGAAAACTTATACACACCTCCCAGCGGGAACCATTAAACGAAAAATATTTGCAAAAAAGGAATTTGTGATTTCTTATTTGTACATAGAAATGAATATTATTTCAGTCAGATTTGCAATTTTAATTTGCTGAACCTGATTAGCAAGTAAATCCTTTGCAAATTGAGATAAAAAGAATTTTAGCAATTGTTTTACATAAATCTGAAAAGATATGTATGTATTTTCTTTTATTTTTGTGCATTAAATTTAGACTTGTGGTATAACCAAATAATGAAAAAGGACTAGAAAGATATCAACCATATTTTGAAATAACAATAATTGAGGGTTGGCTATAACATTCTAAAAAAAATCCACAAATTCTACAAAATTAAAAATGAAAAAAAATTGCATAACTTTTAGATATTTTAAATCTTTTTTTGTGTGATACATTTAATGTTTCAAATCTGAAAGCATTGTTTTTTTTTTAATCTTATACTAGATTTTCATCGATAATTTTTTCACTTTAACAAAAAAAGCAGCATTGTTTTTTATTTTCTGTAACCATTGTTGCGTTGGTAAGTTAGCTCACCAATTACTATATCTTCACCAGATTATCCAACCCAAGGAACATAGAAATATCCTCATTCCCATTTAGACTCAGCTTACTTGTCGTTCAACTAACACGTCTCTGGAGCAAAACTCGACATGAATTTTGGCCTTTCAAGTCACCCGGCTAGAATGTTTTTATGTTGAGTCGAACACATCCAAATTAGACAATGTTGTTTCTAAGGTGACTTAAAATCGGATAAAATTTCCGTTTTGAGCGACTAAACAAATGTAACAGACCGAACATATCAAAAATAATTATAACTTAACATCAGTACTTTGTATATTAAATTGAACTGTAACATTAAACAAAAAAAATCATATTATATTAAACCGACCCTAAAGCAGGAGTCGACCGTGGTTTACATTGAGAAACTGAACCAAAATTAAACCAAAATAAATGGAAAACAACCAGAATAAACCAAATCGGTTCTCCAGCAAACCTTGGATCTGTGCTAAGTTCATTCTTCAGATAAAGCCACCACTACCGGCGCCACTGAATCCACTCTGGCTGAGACTAGAGAACCGACTCTGTCTGACGATCTTAAAACGGAATATTTTGATATATTTAGTTGACAAAAAAAAAACCGATATGTTGTGGTAGCTAATTTATCAATATTTGATCATAATAACTCTAAGTTTTTGTAGTAAGTAGAATGATAGAACCAGCATGCACCAACAATTATGGGAAGAAGAGGAAGGAAGTTTGGGTTGTGACTTGTGAGCATGAAACTTTTGTTCTTTAATTGACGTTGTTAGTGTTACTTATGATGTATATAGTCATATAGAACAAAAGTATTTGTAAGGAGTAAAAGAGATTTTCTCTCTCGAGTCTAACAATGTTTCATCAACCTAGTAATACTGTTGAAATTATTTGTAACAATTAATATGACAATTTTTACATATCATATAGATTTTGTAAATCAATATTCGATCTATTACTGTACATTTTTAGATTCAAATTAATTTTAGACTGATTTATACATCGATAAACTAATAACTAGCTATATAAATTAATAAAATATGCGGGGTAAAATATTTAATAAAATATCTAGTATCTCGTGTCATCATATGTTTCATTGTTTTGTGCTTAACTTTATTTTTTTTATGCGGACGATTGTATGAGTAATCCCACGTTACATGATAGTGATCATTTGCATTGCCCACACGTCACAGTATAAGTATAACAAAAACATGAGTAAGGATAGAATTATATTGATTATTTTCGTCGTTGTAAAAATATGCTAATTTTTTCTTTAAAAAGTTAAAAAATTAACTTTGTTTTTTAACATCTAATATTATATTATTAGTTAAGAAAGACAATTTAAAAATAACTTTCACTTGATGTGTGATTTACAAGAGTATCATGCTGATGTGTCATTATAAGAGAACTTTTCAAAACACATATAGAAAAATACTTACTTTACTAAAATAATTATATGCTATTAACATTAATTTGATTAGAGATTAGTTTATAACAATTATATATTTAATATTCAATATTTAATTTTTAAATATATTTTTTCTTTTTCTATTTCTTATCAATTTATTTATAAAAATTTAATACATAGTATTACTTATGTTACTAAATATTATATTTTTTATATCATATTTTTTTATCATAATTTTATTAAAAAAAATAACTATATAATCTATTTAACAAAAAGATCTAAATATTTTAATGTATATTATAATTCAATTATTTTATATCAAAAACAAAATATCTTAGTCTGATTTTGAACCGGTTAGATGATATATATTAATCTAACTTAGTATATTTAATATTTCAAATATGCAATTTCATGCATATAGAAAATATTATTAAAGTTAATTATAAAAAATCAATAATTATTTAGTATTTATGTAATTATATTACAAAATAAATATAATTGTAACTATTATTTATAATTGCATAATCTATGTATAAATTTGCAATTATAAATATTAATTAGCATGTTTAAGTTGTATATATATATTATCAAATTAAAAAAATATGATTAATATTTATCCTGCATAGAGTGTGTGTAATCACCTAGTTGAAAGAAGATACTCATTAGGGGATTACAAGGAAGCCGTCACCAAGTGAGTTTTGCAATGGAGTCAGCGAAGGCATGGTTTGTATTAAAACAACTTGAAGTTTGTATTGAGTTTGATTCGGATACGTGAATACCGAGTTCGTTTCTTCATAGCGAATTTCAAAGCTTTCCCATAATCCCATACACGTAGAATTGTATATAGTAGTATTGCGTGCCTTTTTTGTCTGTCTATTTCCGTTATATTTATGTCGGCATACAAATTGACAAGTAAAAAAACACAGAGTATACATGCGTGCCGTTTTCCTCCATTCCTTTACATTTTCATACGTGTCATTTTTTTACCATAAAGTTTTCACGTTTAATCAAACTCAAAGCATGGCGCAATTCTTCTTCATTGCAAAAGATACTTCTTTGTTTTAGAATTAGGGGATAAAACTCTATTTAGAAAAACGACTTTAGTCATTACTTTGACTATAGATATTAGATAGAACCTGAGAGTAAAAACGAAACTTTGAAAAATAGCAAAAGACAACTTTATTGATTCATAAAATTTGGGAAATGTCATACAGAGTAGTGTATCTTTATATAGGGGATACTAAGGTTGCCCTAAAGCAGAAAAAGACAATTTAGCTACACGCCATAGCACACTCTTGCAGGGTATCAAATCGGTTTTGTAGCTGGATTGTGTGAGCTGTCTTTACCATACCATTGACTCCTTTTTACTGAGGATAAGCTCTGTATGACTGATCATGTTTGTTACCGTTATAGAGGAGAAGAGCTTGAATTGTTGTGGGCTTGTTTTCATTTGTTGTGGGCTTGTTTTCATCACATCGGCCCATCTCGTTTGTAACTTCGATACAGGCTTCTTCCATGTGTGAGAGTCCATTCTTCAAACCTTCTGATGGAGCCAGAAGTATATCTGTTCTATTGATACACCCCCTCAAACTTGGGGTTGGTGCAGTATCAACACCGAGTTTGTACCTTAAGTCAAAGAAGGAGGTTTGTGGAAGGGACTTAGTGAAGATGTCAGCCAGTTGCACCTTACTTGGAACGTGTTTGACAACCAGGGCTCCATGAGCAACTCTTTCTCTAACATAGTGAAAGTCCACATCAAAATGTTTGGACCAAGAGTGAAGAGCAGGATTTGCAGTGAGATAAACCGCTGAAAGGTTATCACAATACAACTCAGGCGTTTCAGGCTGTGGGAGACCGATTGCTTCTAGTAGCTGACTGATCCACTTCAACTCTATAGCAGCCAGAGAGAGAGTCTTATACTCAGCCTCTGTCGATGACCTTGAGACAGTAGCGTGTCTCTTTGCAGACCAAGAGATGATATTCGAACCAAGAAACGTACACAGACCACCAGTTGACCTTCTCGTTTCCTTGCAATTTGCCCAATCACTGTCACTATAAGCACGAAGAACAGAGTCTGTGTTTGAAAACAGATTGACTCCCATTGTGTATGTTCCTTTAAGATATCTTAAGATCCTTTTTAACAAACTAAAGTCAGCCATTGTTGGTGCATGCATCCGTTGACAGACCAAGTTGACTGCGAACTGTATATCTGGTCTTGTTAAGGTCAGATATTGTAGTTTGCCTGCCAGGCTTCTGAAATAAGTAGGATCTGAGAACAAAACAGTTTGACCTGCAACTTTATCCAACTGCAGAGGCAGAGGTGTCGGCATAGGAGCACATTCAGCCATTCCTGCCGCCACAAGGAGATCTTGCGTGTATTTCTCTTGACATAAGAACAGACCTTCATCATGAAACTTTGCCTGAATCCCAAGAAAATAGTGAAGGGGACCCATGTCCTTCATTCTAAATGAAACACTTAGTTCATCAAGCAACTGTTGGATCAACTCATTATTGTTGCCTGTAAGCACCATATCATCCACATAGAGAAGCAACAACATAACATCTTTTCCTTTGATGTAAACAAAAAGAGAAGGATCTGGTATACTGCATATGAATCCAAACTGAATGAGGAAAGTGCTAAACTTGTCGAACCAGGCACGTGGAGCTTGTTTAAGCCCATAGATCGCCTTGTTGAGCTTACAAACATAGTCTGGCTTGTCAGGATACTCAAAGCCAGGTGGCTGGACCATATACACAGTTTCCTTTAGGTCACCGTGAAGGAAGGCATTTTGAACATCGAGTTGTTTAATGTCCCAATGTTGAGTGACAGCAACATGAAGAACTGACCTGACTGTTGCAGTTCGAACCACTGGGCTGAAGGTTTCAAGAAAATCAACACCTTCTTCATGTGTGTAGCCTTTAGCTACAAGACGAGCTTTTAAGCGATCAAGAGAGCCATCCGACTTGAGTTTA